GCAAGAGGCACTGGGGGTACTGAGCGTCACAGGCAGGCCACATAGGAAAACACCAAAGGCCCAGCTTTCTTTCATTCCCTAACTTAATAATGGAGTAATTATTACAAATTAGCCCCAGTTCCTTTATGCAAGAAAGTTTGCTGTTTGGCTCAATGGTTTACTCAAAAAAATAAAACTTTTATGGTGAAATATTCAAGTTTGAACCATAAACTTTATTTTTTAGTGTAATTTGCCCTCATTTATTTCCCAATTCTCTCATCAAAACAGACTCTCAAATGCAAGGGTGCTGTTTCTTTATCTTCTCTTGTAACTCACCCCATACCTTGTGCAAAGTGTCATGAGCTTTCTTCAATATTTGTATTTATCTTTCTTCTAAAAGAAAAGGTGAAAACCATTAATCCACCCTCTGATAATAAACATATTCCTAAGGATAGGAGCGACACCTTCTTTTTTAAATAGATGAAAAACCAGACACACAAAGAAAAGGCAATGTACGCAGATCCTTCAGCTAGTGGGAGGCTGGGTTACAAGTCTTAACCATTTTCCTAGCTTTCCTCTGAAGAACCATGTTAGGCACACAACAAAATTTGATGAACTTACTTTAGCATAAGCCTTTATTTCCTTTCAATGGCCAATCCCACAAACCACCTCTATAAAATCACTGAATTTTCATTTCTGAAGGAAATGGCACTTGGCTACACTTCCAATAAAGTTTAATAATGCCTGAGGCTTTTCTTGGATCAAATATCCCAGGTGAGGAAGCCCAATTTGTAGAGACTTAATTGCCTCCCAGATATTATTTCTGAGATGAAAAGCACCTTCACTTTCTAAAGCACCAGAAAAGGAGAAAACATTTCTTAAAATAAAATAACCATCATTTCATTTCGGAAACCAAGAAGGGAAGCCTCACACTTTTGCAGACACCTGATATGACAAGTTCCAGCCAAAAAGGGATTTCTGTAGCTGTTTCGGACACAGCTGAGGAATCTCAAATGAAGAAGACACATCTGTGTTTTCTTGGCACCCACTGGACAGCTTCCTGAGCAGCCCCTTATGAGGTCTGAAGCATCTCCCCACAGCCCTTATCTGTCTTGTCTGTCAATTGATTTTGAATCCACGTCTCGAGCAGCCTGATCACGCAAGAAGCCAAAGAAAAGGACATTTGGACACTTGTGGGCAAAAATTAAAAGGCTAAATTAGAAATAAGGGGCTGCCTCTTAACTCCACAAGGATGAATCATTGTCTTGTTAAATTATTCTCTTCCAGTGAGACCACCTTGCCCCCAGTTGCTCTATTATCCAATTCCCATGTCTGTTGCTGAGACTTCTTAAACCCTGCTTTTTCCAAGCAGCAAGAAACAAAAAAGGAGGATCCGGATAATGGTCAAAGGCACCACCAAAATCAGTGAACATTGCAGTCTTCTAAATACTGCATCCTAAATATGGTCCAAGAGGGGCCTCTGGTGGTAAGAAAGGATGCGGGAAGAAGTTGGGAGCCCCCTGCAGTCTGTGGACACCTTCCTCATGCGAATATCCCAGCGTCACACGTTCCTGGAGAGGCCTGTTGAGAGTGACCCGCCGAGCATGGGTGACTTCACGGCACAGGAAAAGCCTTCTGGGACACACAGCTGTGTCCCTCTGGGGGGCTGCCACACGCACTGTCTCATCTGAGCTTCCCGCCGCGCTGGAAGGCAGTCCTCAGACCCGATTTCAGCTCTGAGCACATTAGCGTTCACAGGCGTTGGAGAGGTAGCTACTTCAGGCGAAGAGGAAGAAAATGCACAAAATCTCAATCATAATATATAGTTAGTTAGTCAGAGGATGAAAATAGAGGATAGAAAATATAGCCAATGATTCTGTAACATCTTTCTATGTTGACAGGTAATAACTGCACTAGTTGGGGTGGGTTTTAATAATGTATACAACTGCTGAATCACTTTGTTGTGTACTTGAAACCAACATAATATATGTCAACTATACGTCAATAAAAAAATTAAAATCTAGTTTGTGCATTTGACTTCTAATTTTGTGAATTCTACACGAAACTCATTTCATCTGAGTTCAGCTTGAGAAAATTTAATCCCTTCAGTTCTGTTTTCTGCTGCACATACCCCTCTCCCAGGTCACAGCACAGAGGAGAAAGTTCCCTGTGCAAAAGATTGGTTCAAATGGACAGGAAAAATATATGTGCATGTATCTCCAAAGCGGGGAGAAGACAGCTGTTTTGCTTCTTGGAAACATGTCCCACAGCACAACCAAAATACAGCTGGCCAATTTGTAGCCTCCCAGCTAAGCCAGCTAAGCACCTGGAGCTGGAGCGAAGTTCTGGTAGGAGGCCTTCCCACGTGGGGGCCCTCGGCAAGCCTGTGCCTGAAGGGACTGGGTGCCCCTCCCCACCGGGAAAGCACCACCTTCCTCCGTTTTTCTTGCCTGAAACCAAATTTACACTCAGAAAATCTGAAATAGGTTCTCACAGTAAATTGCAACATGCTATACAAAAAGAGTCCCATTTATTAATTCTGTTTAATACCTTTCTTGGCTAAACACAGCGTCATCTCCCTGATCCTCGTATTTCCTGCTCGTGTGTCCCCACAGCTGCACAAAACATCAGGACGGCTTCTGGGCCCCACCAGTGCGGCCCTGCCCCTGCTGCGCCTCCTAGGAACCCACCCTGAATCTGACCTGGGAAGATTTCTGAATTACAGTTCCTAGAAAGTCAGACCTCCGCAGGACATCCCATGAGCTCTGCGTACTGTGGAAAGAAACCGAAACCCAGGCAGGCGCGTGCGCACGCACAGCAGCTCGGACCCTCTCCTGTTGGAGTGGTTGTGGTGACGAGGGCGGTCCCATGGGGCGGGAGGTGGGGGCCATGGGCCCAGGTCAGCAGGTTCTGTTCACCCCCCCTCCCCCCACCGTTCCCATTCTCTCCTCTCCCGCGCCAGGATGTCTCGGTCCCGAGCCACCATCCTCGTCTAGCTACCCCTCTGCAAGCCAGGCCTGGCCGGCTCTTGCCACGTTCATCTCACCGAACCTATGCTTAGGCTGTTTGCAAGATGGAAAGGCCTAATCAGTTAGCCTTATTAATGTTAAAATGACTGCGAGCTGCGTATGGCACGTGGCATTGACGAGTTCCTATACCTGCAGAGCAACCCTTGTTCTTGTCCCTCAGAGGGAAACTGAGGCACGGGGTGCCTCCAAGTGACCTGCCAAGAGATGGTGGACACGAGATAAGAGCCCAGATGTCTCCCCTTGGCTCCCCACCTCTGCCCTTCGCTCTCAGCCCCCACTGCTCTGAATAGATATTTATGGTTTCCCACAGAACAAACCTCATGGCTCTGATTCTCCATAGTGGTATTCTGCACTCAGCAGAGAGGCCGGAGCTGTCCTTCCCAGTGCCCTACAAACCAATCACACTTGCTGTCAACCGGGCCTGAGCATGGACTTCAGTAGGGGGAGAACAGACATGCCCTGCCCCTCCTCACTAGCAAGTGGTCAGAGGAGCCCCAGCTTGGCCCATGCCGCCGTCCTTTCCTAGCCATTCCCCCAGCACCCTGATGGACACACGCTGACATCTGTTGAGTTGATTTCTTCACTTACCATTTATCAAGGACAACATTGGCATGCTTGAGGAACGCATTGAGCTTATTAATAAAATAGTAATGAAGCCCTAGGGAATTCTTAGAGTTCTAAGACTACAGTCAACTTTGAGAAGTCTACCAGAACTGCAGACTGTGGGACAAGACCCACATTTGCCCATGAATACATTAGGAATATCAGACTCAAAAATCACATGCACTGAACGCTTGCTATGAGCCCGATATTGATCTGAGTAATGAAGAAAGGGATCTGAGTCATGACTCATGGTTTTTGTAACTCTAGGGGGAAAAATGTATTCCCAACCTGGGGCACATAAATCTTTGAAGCTGAAATCAGTCAAAGAGGAAAATAAAGTGGGAGAAACCTGTTAATTACTTACAAGAAGTTGTCTATTCCCATTCACCCGTGTCTCTACCCTGGCTGGGAAAAAAACAAGAAATATCTCTCCATTTCCCCGCATGTGCTCACTTGACTCTCACCACACCACGCACCCCACCAACCACCACCACCTTGTAAGCACCCTTGATATGGAGATGGACTAAGGCCAGGTGAGATATTCTGGAAATATTGCAATTTTACCCAAAGTTTACAGTTTTCAGTGGATGGAGGAGTGGGAGAAAGATCGATTGATTGAGCGCATATGTTAAAAATAGGCACATTCATTCAAATATCCTTACACCAAAACTAATGTCAGATGATTTTTTTTAAGATTTAAATCCTGTCAGTCAAAATCAAAATCAATAGGCTTTGACATCCTATACATATATCAAGTGGGATGTTATTCTCCATCCTGGCAGATACTTCACTGTCAAGTTTTCCTTAGAACAATTAAAAGTGTCCATTGGTTTCATAAGTGTGTTGAAAAAAGGTTCAGCTTTCTTATTGTTTCTGGCATGAAAGGACATTCCTCCCCTGGGCCATGTTGTGTCTTGGACCGGGAGGATGTTCACCAGCTCTGGACGAACACCCAGAGGGCTGTTCCCCCTCCTGATGAAGGTGAGCAGGCAGATCGGGATGCACAGGAGCTCCTTCTACTGCACTGTGTCTGCCTGTGTATCAGTTAAGGGCAGCAAAGCTTTCAGAGTCGTGTTCTACCTTGGACAGCACCTGGATGGAAAGCAGAGTGACAGAGAAGAGGCAGAGAAGTGCCTGGGCCCAGGCTGGGGAGATGCCCCACTCGGGTTCTCATCTGCCTGCCAGAAGGTGAAGACAGGGCGACTTCACAGCACCACTCTGGACAGGATGCGTGAACCTGGGCTAGAAAGCAGGAGATGTCTCCATCTCCCTGCTGCAATGGCCAGGTGCTCCCACTTCTCAGGGAGGACAGCGCTCAGCAAGCATCCAGGACCAACCAAGCAGCCAGAGGCCACCCCACAGCCAGTGCACCCAAACCCATGTGCGAGAATAATCTAAGACACCCCCCAGACACGCAGCTGTTCATTAGCCATGCTTTCTGTTCTTGTCATTTCTCCTATTACACTGTGAAGTACAAAGTGTGTCTCACAATGCAATCAGCATTAATTTTATTAAACGGGTTTGGAGGAGTTAAACTAGCATCTCCCTCTTGATGGCAGGCATAACATGTCTCTTTTATCCAAGCAGAAAACCAACAAAAAACAAAGAACTTCATAATAATTCATCAGGAAACATTAAGACCCTAATGAGCATCATTCACTTAAGAGACCAGGGTTCACATTAGGGATGAACTGTGGAAAAGGATAAGGCAACAGGACTGCATTGCAGAATCACCAGTGACCTGGCACTCTCCAATTTACCATTTTAGCTTCCAGACTAAATTTGAAGGCCAAGTGTTTTGTTGTGCTTTTTTCAGCAGAAAGCTTATCTAAATTAAATCTACACTGCAAGTATATCAGCATTCTCCACGAGGCCCATTTTGTCCCATGCCTGTTGGCCTCTCTGTTGATGTTCTCCAGGAACATAGTTGAGTAATAAGATTTCACACCAGCCAAAGTGGGCCTGCACCTTAGTGGTCCAAGTTTACATTCAGGCAGAACGGTGTTCCCCGTGCCACCCAGCATTTCATCTTCATACCCACTCAGACTTTCTGGTTCTCAAGTGGGGAGCACTGCCAGATGCAGGGGGCTGCAGCTGGCTGGCTGAACAGCGCCCTGCCAACCAGCTCCCAGGAGTTAGGGAGCATTCCTCTGACCTTGTGAGGTCTCTGCTCCTTGAGTTTTGGGTGGCTGCACTGTGGGGCCTGCTTCCTAGCTCTCTGCAGGCCATGGCCAGCTTGTCACTGGCTAAGGACATCAGCTCACTCTGGTCCTCATCAGGAAGCTCCATCTGCCGCAACACAGCAGGCTTCCCACTGGGGCTGTTGGCACCTTCCCCTGCAGGCTCCCCCTCTTCCTCCCCAGCCCTCAGCCCTGGCCTCCTGCCCGGGCCCCCAGCATAGCCAGGGGCAGCCCTCCCAGCATGGCCCTCCTGCCCAGCGGGGCCTGGCCTCCTGCTCATCCTCCCCTGCAGGCTATAGATGAGGTCAGCCATGCTGAGCAGGAAGGAGAGCACACTGACCACCCAGATGAACAGCATCATAATGGACTTCTCAGTGGGCCGAGACACATAACAGTCTACCACGCTGGTGCATGGGGAATGCATGCAGGAGAATCTCGTTGGGACCAAGAATCCAAACAGCAGGTAATGCAAGGCACCAAAAGCTGCCTCCGTCAGAGTCCGAAGAAAGAGGTGGACAATGTAGCCAGAGGAGAAATCTGGCATGGTCAGGTGACAGCCCTCCCCATAGGGTGGTGGGCAGCATCTAGCCCCAGAAGTCAGGTCAGAGGGGTAGTGGCCGCCGGGACCACCATCTGGCTTGCAGGCTGCACGCATGGCGAGTTCAGCTCCTTTGTGCAGCACATAGACACTGAAAACAGCCGAAGGGAGCAGAACAGACACACTCTGGATCAGCCAGAAGCGCAGGGGAGACACAGGGGAGAAGAAGTCATAGCAAACGTTGGTGCATCCAGGCTGCAGAGTGTTGCATACAAACCTCTCCTGCTCGTCCTGGTAGATGGGGGATCCTGCCAAGATGATCACTGCCATCCTCAGCAGGATCGTGAAGGCGAGCCAGAGCTTCCCTGGGATAGAGGGGTGCAGCATCACTACCCTGCAGACACATTGCCTCCTAACAACAGCTGTTGAATATTTATAGATCAAAGAATATCGTTATGTGATAACAACATTGGCTCAAACGTTTAAGACCAGCTCAACTATGTTTAAATGCTATGAAATTATTGAGAAGTCACTAAACATGTGCTTTAGTCCCAGAACAGTATCAGCCAGTTTGTTCACTTGACAAATACTTACAGGGTAACCTCACCTACAATGCATCCAACAATGTGCTGACTACTTGTTTATAACATGCTTTGAAATGAACAGAGTTTGAAGAAGCGTTAGAGACTAAAAATGTTTAATCTGACTCCACTAGTTCAGACTTTTGATAATATCTCCTAGACTGAAAGTTCTAGAAAGTTGAGTTGAACAAATTAATCATGTCAATAAGATCTTAAGAGCTTAAAGGATGTTAGCACATTCCTGTAACTGTGTACAACAAATACAAGCTACTCGTTTCTGTCAGTCTTCTTTTTTATGATGTAAGTCCCCAGATGTTTATTTAATGTTGCTTCATGATCCTTGAAATCAAATTTCTTCAACAACATTCAGTTCTTCCAATTGTTCAATAATTCAGAATTCCTTCTCCTCTATTTCAGTGATTATGAATTCATGATTCACCTTTCTTCAACTTATCATGATTAATGAGACCAACTTAGGAAATCACAAGTGTCCATTGGTTTCATAAGTGTGTTGAAAAAAGGTTCAAGTCCTATTTTCATGTCATGAGTTAATGATTTTAGAATATGTTTAAGCTTCAGTTAAAATCATTTGTAAACACCTTGTTTTGTGAGGAGATACAGAAAACATTACCTGATAGCAGAAAAACAAGACTCTACTATAAATGAAGGCAGTTAAACTCAAAGAATACCATCATTATGTGATAACATCAACTCAAACATTTAACACCAACTTGATTTGTTTCAATGCTATGAAAATAAGAAAAATAACAACCAGTTCATCAGTGTATTTTATTCCTTTTCCTAGGACACCCATACTGCTCTGAAAATTCGACTTGTCTTCGTCAAACTCAGAAACACTTATTCCTTTCTTTGTTAAAAAAAAACTGAACTAAATTGCAATTTGGTTTAAAGTACACAAGAGAAATCACTAATCTTTACAAATTAAGACTCAAGGAAAAGATAGGCAAGAAGGAAGTGTAATTGGAACATTAACTTCTCTTTAACTTTTCCTGTATTGTTACTTTTCCTGATCAAGTAGCCAGAGAAGAGTTACAGAAGAAAGAAACCCTTCACTTGCTTCTGTCTTCAGGTTCAGCTCTCAAATGTCAATGAGAAGAGGCCGGGGAGAGAAACATTCACACCTGAGACTTCCTTGAATGATAGCAGAACACGGAGCAACTCGGAGAAAGCATGAGCCCCCAGCTCCCTTTCCCCCAGCAATAAGCTGGCCAGGCAGAGCGATGGAAACAAAGAGAACAAGAACTTTGGGGGTGCTTCCTGTACTCACCCACAATGGTCATGCTGTGGTTTAAGGTCATGATGAGGAGTCCCAGCAGGTCCAGACGTTCCATACTTCCAGAATGTTGCAGACTCAAGCTGCTGGTGACGTCTGAAGCCTGGGTTCCCCAAGGAGGTGGAAAATACTTTTGTTTTCTGCAGGAATAAATGTACCTTAGTTACAGAAGACTGAAAGGTAAGAGCTAGAAATAAGAAAGAAAAGATTCCAGCCCAGGAGTAAGAGGTCAATTTTTCTACTCCAAGTGGAGATGAGCCCAAGCTGTCTGCCTCCGAGGCAACAGTTCCTGACAACTGCAGTAACCAGATGACAACAGAAGTCATCACTCATCATGGGCTATTCTTACCCTCCTGGGACATTCCAGGCCCATGGCAGCACTCACATGTCTACTAGGAGAGCCAGATGCTTCAGGATATATAGAAGCAACATTTACTCCAAGGAAGGTAAGCTCTGTTAAACAGTCAAGTAAACTTCTCTATTAAGAAAGCATTTCCTCCTTGAAAACATTTCCACAACCACCTCACTTGTCCAAGAGGGTCTAAAATGTTCATGTTTGGTTCTCTATGAAACTTCTCTCTGTAGCGCCCCCCATAACCCTGGCATGCCCTCGCTCTGAATTCTTACACATTATGCAAACATAAATCTGCATCTCGGATGCACTTCCCAACTTTAGGCTGTGACTGTTGTTCTTTAACTGTTCCCTGTCCGGTTAGTGCCCAGAGCTCTTCATTCAGATGCAAAAGGTGCAAAGCCTTGGGCAGCCTAACAGTCACGAGGGAAGTCACTGAATCTCTCCAATTCTTGTCTCGCAATAGACAGAACCATGCTTTTGCACTCAGAATTTGTAGGAGGCAGACATGAAATGACAGCATGGAGGGCAGCTAGCATGTCATGGGCATTAACAACTCAAATCAGCAGAATTTCAATCCCTAACTGGCTCAAGGAACCTTCAGAGATTGCATCTTCTTTTTATTTCTCCCAGCCCTATCCAGCCAAGGGTTGCTCCCATTGAATCAGCTTAATAAATGTCCCTTAAATGTGTAATAAAGTATCCCCGCCTGGGCCTGCTGACTTCAGTCACAGATGTTTCAAAACTGTCTTGTGGCTGTCACCTTTGTATCTAGGAAGAACACACCCTGCAAGGCTGGGGAGCCATCATCAGCATAGAAATTGTGAACTTTAAAAGGAATGATTTCAATTTTCTGTGGAAGCTATTCTTTACATTTCTATCTTTTCTTCATTTCTGATCTTTTCTTGACTTTAGTAATATCCCTAAAAAAATTTCCAGGAGTGCAACAAAGCCACTTTCATCTTTATTCACATGACACATTTCCAACCACAGAAAACATTTTGACCCCCTTCAAAGGAACAGTAGTTTTTGCTATATTTTAGTCAAATGCTTCAACATGAGCAATAAAATTTTATACTGTAGTTAAGTCAAAATATTCAAGTAGCCCTATGGTTCATGTATAAGATAAAGGAAAATATCTTTGCTTCCTAATAGAGTACTCTTGATACCAGCCCAAAAACTGAAATACCAGGGAAGCATTTTCTGAATTTTGCCATGCAATATAAATATTCTGAATGTGGAGTAAATAAGATTTTGTGACCTTGAGAAAATCACTAAAGCTTTTCATGCCTTAGTTTTCTCACCAGTTAAGTAGCAAAAAGAATGTGCCCTCTGCCTACATAGTGGTTGTGATATACAAATGAGATCAGAGACATGAAAACTATTTAAAAACATAAAGAATTACATGGGCTGGTGACAGGAGCATCTCAGGGTCTGCTCCTCTGTGTTCCCACCCCTGGTCTTTCCCTTTGACCCCACAGCCCCTTCCAAACAGCAATGCTGTCTGTTTGCTCCCAAAAAATCCTTATCACTTTGCTCTTCCTCCTCCAAGTCTACCCTATTCCCATTCTTTGTCTTTTTTCTTCTTCTTTTCCCCCTCTTTCTCCTGCTAGGAGGCATTTTTGCTTTCCCTGGAAATCCTAACCCCAGTGGTTGTCAGAAGCAAGATGGGGACAGGAGAGGAGGAGAATATGGCTGGAGCATTAAACACATGGGTCTCTGTAAAGTTACCCCAGCATTGATGGGGAAGTTTCCATTTGTGCATCTATGGAGCAGAGACAATATTTGGGACAGTGCTGTGCTGAGCCCAATGGGAAAGAAACCCAGTAGGAGTCAGGGACATGCACACAGCTAAATCACACAAGACGCCAGCCTGGGACTCAATCACAAAATGATCTCTGCAAAAGGAAACAAGAACAACAGAGCCACATGCCAGTCAGACTCGGCTTGCCTCCAGCTTAGTGACATTGGCAGATTCTTTAGGCCTCAGTTTTACCATTTGTAAATTGGAAATAATGATACTTCATTTGGAGGGTTATTGAGAATTAAGGTTAAGTTAAATGAGGTTTGAGCACACTATTTGGCCTATAAGAGGTTCTTGATAAATGATTACTTTAGTGGATTCTCATTATTCATGGCAGCTACATTCTATAAAGTTGCCACAAACAGTGGATTAGAGAATCCGAGAGGCTCCCAAGGAAATACAGAATGAAGTTCCAATGAGTCGCTGGTCATATTTTTGTCCACCAGTTTTATGTGTGTTTCTGTTTAAAGATGCCTAGCTTAACACATATATTTTTATATATATTTAATGTAGTTGGTTCATTATCATGGGACCCATGGCCAGCAGCATTGTGACTCACACCTGAGCAAACCTCATCAAACATGTGGATTTTCTCTGTAAGGCCCACCACAGCCTTGTATTAAGGAACACTCCCGAATTTCAGCACTATGCTTGGGGTAGATGTGGGTGGAGAGATTGCAAACAGTAAGATCACCAACAAAAAGCGCAAAAATTTGAAAAACGTGACACTAAATAGACCAAAAAAAAAAAAAAACAAACTCCTTTACAGTATAAAAACTGAAGCAAGAAGGCAAAGCACCACCTTGTTCCGCTCCCCCAGGAACATCTGTATCCGATGACTCAAATTTTCAGGGCTCTGTAGATGACCACAAATACCTGTAAAAGTTTGAGCATCAATTTGGGGGTTACTAATAAAGTGTAGCAATTAAGTGTATCACAAATATCCATGAATAATGAGAATTGACTAGTAATACAGATCTACTAAACAGAAAACAAGCTGAGGCTTGACAAAGGATTGATTCAGGAGGGGTGTGTCCCCAGGAGCCCCAGGAAGAGGGACGGGGGCCCAGACCTACCCACTCATGCTCGTACTCCAATCAGAACACTTCCACTTCTGTCTGTACTACTTCTCATGCTTCGGGCAAGACTCCCCCTGAATAAAGGAGTGTGTGCATCTAAAAAGAAATGTCAGAAAACATCTGACTTATGTGAATTATTGTTTAATTATGGGAAGTGGTGTGATGTCAAGGTTCCAACACATGCTCTGGATTCTGACAACCTGGATTAAAATTCCAGTTCCTTGACTGTGTGACTTCAAGGAAGTTCCTTTCCTCAGGTTCCTCATTGTAATATCACAGTATCTAGCCCCAATTCTAGAATGCCTGTGAAGAATAAACAAGAAAATCCCTAAACACACAGAACAGTGCCCAGCCAATGATGTGTACTCAACTACTAGTTCTCATTTTTATTGCCTGCCAAGAATAAGATATCAGTGAAGACAGGTCTTGCAGTGGCCTTTCCTCCACAGGACGGGTGCTCCAGAGCCCGGATCAGCCCAGCAGGAGGAAGGTATTTTTTTCTCCCAGGCTCGAAGTGACAAATAACCCCAGGGAAATAGAATTTAGCTTCTGGAGGGCTAGGAAATTATAACATCTGTTGTGATTTGCTATGTGTGTGTGTTTAAGGAATAGCTTAATTATTTAACTAGAGAAATAAATATTTCCCTTGTTCTCAGGATTTAAACAACTTTTTCAAGACTGTAGATAGGAAACACAACTGACTAATTATATGGACAGTCACATCTCATCTGCATATATAAATCTAGCAACAAAATTGATTGTAACTGATCAGTTGACCCTGGAATAACATGAGTTTGATGTGTGGTCCACTTATACTCAGCTTATTTTCAATAAATACTGCACTATAAATGTATTATCTCTTTTTATAATTTTCTTACTATTTTCTTTTTCTAGCTTACTTTATGGTAACAGTACAGTATATAATATATATAACATACAAAATACTGTTAATTGACTTATGTGATCAGTAGGGCTTCTGATCAACAGTAGGCTTTTAGTAGTTGAATTTTGGAGGAGTCAGATTTTACACATAGATTTTCAACTACGTGGTGTTCAGCATTCAAGGGCAAACTATACTTTTCTGACAACAGTTTACCACAGACATAACCCAGGATTTATTTCGGAGTAATCTAGGTGAACCATCTCTGTGCACACTCTTTTCCACATTCTCCCACAACAGATTTACAGTGTAAAATTAACCTAGGTAATAGGAGACCCAGAGAACTGGCACAAGGTGGAAATTTTCTTCTGCTGAGCCATTTCCTATTCTGTGGTCCCAAAGCAGTCATTCCTGGACTGTATTTTCAACTCCAGTTTAAATCAACTTCACAGCTTCCCAGAACAGAGACAAATGCTTCTCTCCATGAAGAGAGCATCAGCGGCATCCCTGCGGTTGGTTTGTGCATCAGTTGGGCAGAGAGGTGTGACTTCTTTGCCAAATGAGGAAAAGAATTTCCAGGCGCTGCTCTTGCCTCAGGTAAACTTAGCTAAGACCTTTTGCAAGATATTAGGCAACACAAATCCATGTTGTTGACCGTAACAAAATAATGTGTCCTACCCCAGTCCGGAGGGCATGTTAACCAAAGGAGACCTTGCTAAGATCTTGAAACAATGCCCTGCCGGATGCAAACACATCAGATGAAGGATGCAGATCAATAAACATCTTACTTCTGAAGCTGTTCTTCTATCCACTAAATCACATTATCTACAAGGCAGTAGATTATCTACGTAGGTCCCAATGGGAAATGCAAAGACCCCACAAAATCCATTTTCCACAGACAACATCTCATGCAAATTTCAGCCCACCTTCGTAATCTCACAAGTGAAATTGAAGATGTGACCAAGACCATTTGCCTCAGCACAGAATTTAAATGAGATTTGGTGTCCCTAACCTGACCAGAGAATTTCTGATGCATAACACTTAAAAAGTACCAAAAAATTTTCAGCTGTCCAGAATGTTAAAGAAATCCAGCTTTCTGCATAGCACATGCCTTTTAATTATTTGAAATTGTATTGTTTTTAACTTTTTCGTGGGAATCTTTCTATGGCAATGTTTCATTTCTGTT